GCATCATAATTGGATGTGTCAAAGTAATGTATGTGTGATTTCATGTCCTCATAGAAATTATCGGTTTCAACATGTACTATTAGCGAATCAGTGTCCGTGTAAGCTACAGACACCTTATCACCATATTGACGCTTCAGAAAGTCATAGAAAAAGTCATATATTACCGTTTTTGAGACATCTAAAATACAAAAGCCAACATATGTATGTGGGACGACAATAATCAATCATTGTTTTTTCCATTTGAATGGCTACTAAGTTTTCAGAAAATATTCTGTGCTCTTTAAAAGTTGGTTTACTAATATAATTTGCAGCACCTATTTTATGTTTAGATTTTTTAAATTGAGTAGCTAATTTGATGTCGACTCTGTTCTCCATGTTTTCAATGGTTTTTCCAAAAATACAATTGATCATTAGTTTGAACAAATCTCTTTCAAAAGGATTCAGAGCTGCATTTCTAAGTGTGGTGTTTAACTGTATGTAGGACTTCAACCAGGCAGATTGTGTGAATTTAATGCCTCTATGAATTTTTGTTAAAATAATACCATGTTTCAAACATTGCTTTAGATTACGATAATGGATAATGTAGCGTTCTTTGTTGTGCAAATTTGGAATTAATTTTGAGCTCTGACTGTCGGGTGGCTTAAAATTTTCTGGACAAAATAGTAAATCGTTGAAATAATCATGTAGCTCAGTCGGTATGGTTAAATCGACTTCTAATGCATACCCAATATCCAATGTATCCGAAATCTGTGTAATTGTCTCTTGAATCCTATCCATCTCATCTCGTGTTAACCATGCAAAATTACCAGTTGGTAGGTACTGTTGCATCGTATAACCGTACAAATTTGTTGCATCAAGGTAAACTAAATACGATGATGCCTTTGACGGATCGTAATGTGGTAGAAATTTATTGTTCGCCTCAACTTTACGTGAGGTACATGTACTGACTCCCCCCCGAATTCCCTTTTTAAAAAAATGAATCATATCAACATCTGTAAGCAGCTGTAACTCTACTTTGCTGTATCGTAGCATCGCATCCCAACTCAAACCGGGGGCTGTAAAATAGTGAGCTGGATCAAGCTTGTACGTTTTTAAGCACAAATCTCTGAAATTTTCAAAGATATCTGTTAAAAGAAGAACATCCGAAGTCAAGTAAAAATCAGAGTATTCCCCCAAATTTTGACACCCCATTACTTCCCAGACATGACGTGCTCGCTCATAATCCTCGTCAGAAATGTGTTCATCACGTATTTCATCATAAAAGTCTTGTTGGGATGGTAAACATGTTTCATCGTATTTATCAAACCTATTAAGATATGTATATGGAAATATACCTTTGCATCTCATGTAGGAGAACTTTTCGTCCTCAGGAAAGACTTTTCGTACCGTCCGACATTGTTCTGCGCTTAAAAAGGATGCCAAGGTTTCTAATTTTGACGATAGAAACTGATATGAATCGACAAATCGCATCTGCAAAAATACAGTTTGTGATTTTCCCTCGTGGGAAATGTACGTGTCTACAGGTATCAATTTCGTAAATGAAACATATTTTTCAAAAGATTGTGGAATCACTTTAATTTGTTCTTGCTTCATAGCGAGGTGTTTTATGAATAGATGTGCATCATAGTTTTTGAGGTTGTGGAAAAATATTGGAATGTATTTTGGGATCTTATAGTTTAGATTGCATTTGCTATGTGCTGCGCCACGATATTGCCCGGTGAAATGACAGTGATCCCTAACTTTTCTATTTGTATTGGTAAATGGATGTTCACAAATGAAGCATACCTCTGCTTTATCAAACACATTTTTATCGTGCGCCGTCATTTTCATCGCTACATTTTGTTTTAAATATTGATCATATATTAATTTAAGATCAGCCTCTAAACGCGTAACAAAAATTTGTGCAGCATCCTCACCCCTATACAGTTCGAGCTTGGATAGTGAATCATTATAAGAACATTTAATATAATAAGCAACTGAGGAGGGTCTATGTTCATACTTTTTGATGGTACATACATCCTCTGAAGCACTTGAGTGATTATCTATCGGAGCTAGGATGCATTCAAAGTCCGCATAAACGCAAAACGGTAGTCTTAATTGTTTGTGATGCTGTTCAAATTTCAGCACATTATCCATTACCGTGTTTCCAAGGCGATCAACTCTGGTTTCCAGTTGGGGCAGCTTAACTGAAATGTGTTTGCAATAGTTTTGGATGTGAATTTCCAGTTTGTCTTTTGATGCAAAGTATTGTAAACAGCCATCACAAAAATGCTTTACTCTCGTATTAAGTGACAACTGACTTGAAACGAGTCTTGAAAAGTTGGTAATTAAGCAGTAATGATGGTTACCTTCTGAATCATCAATAAGTAATAAGTTCAGATGAGTGGGTTGTTTTTGCGCCGTGTAATGTAACGGTCCTACCACCTGATATTTAGACTTTCCATCAATGAATTCCTTTTCTATTCCATAAACGTTAATTGACATATTATTCAATCTTTCAAATTCTGATATTGACTTGAGAGCAACTGGAAAGTCCATTCCTGCAAAGTTTAAACCAGGAATGTTCGAAAAATGTGGATATGACGTTGTTAGTGACGCTCGACCCTTTGGTTTTATCATACCAGCTACAATCGACCATGCAAAGCAGTACTCATCCGTGTTACGTATGTTGAGTACAGCTTTTTTGTTCGTGATGTCCTTAGGAAGCGGCAAATATGCTGCTGCCCTCAACGGATTATATTTATTAATATTAATTTCTAAATATAAAATGTTTTCCAACACCCACCCTGAGTCTTTTTCTGCAAAGTCTTTCGATTTTTGTTCGATTTTACTACCTAGATTATAATAGATTTGATTCAAATTTGAGGATTGTGTAATTATTACATTGTTCGTATTGTGGGACTTTACCTCTCGTCGGTTTTTAGCTGGTAAAATATATAAACCAAAAAGTTCCATATTTATTTTGAGTGTTGTATGCTTATGCAACTCATTTTCAATTACGTTTATGGAGTCCTGTGCCACATTATTCATATATTCAGTAACGTTCAAAGTCTCTATGCTAGCGGTTATTTGATAACTAACTATTCTACCTCGGAATGCACTTCGACATACTGACACATTATTTTGTAAAGGTCTCCATAGATGTGCCTTATGTTTAATGCTTTTCAGATGTGCCGCATGTGCATTCCTCGATACCTCACAGCTGCAACTCTCACAGCGAATTGTCCTGCTACCCGCACTCGCTTGTGAATCGTTGCCGGTGGTTGAACTCTCTCGACTTGCGGCCGGCACTACGACGTCGGATGGTGTAGGACTCATTCGACTGGTTCCAGGCACTGCGACGGGGGGTGTTGCAGGGTTCACTCGTCTAATGTTGACACCTGCGGCTGTCTGGGTGATGAAATCTGCAATAGTTGGCTCATTGTTAGTAATCTCACCCTTCATACGTTGTTGCTTGGAAGGTCTTTTCTCGCTTATGCAGACCTCTCTAAGATGTCGCAGTAAATTATGGCGTGCTGAGAAGGTGTGCTGACAGCGAAAACATTGCAACTTGTCTGCAGTGCGGCGCGAAGAGGATGCATTACTGTCCTCGAGACTTGGGGATTGGGGAATGCTGGAGGTACCACCTTCCTGGTTAAAGGATGCTGAAACAGATAATTCTGTTAGTGATTTTATTCGATTTTATTTTCTAATTGTTCAATACCTGTTCCATCTCGAAGACAGATGCGCTTCGATGCTGGCTCACCATCTTGGCTGCACCGCTCTCTACCGTGCTTCAACAAATTTTTTCTCGCCGTGAAGGTCCTTTCGCACTTTAGACATTGGAACATCGTGAAGCGTGTACGTATTTACTCTGTTCCTGCAACAAAATCATTATATATATATATATATATATATATATATATTCGGCTGCGCTTAGCGTTATCCAGTGTGGCCACGGGGAGGCGGCAGCCACCACACCATCTTCTGGATCTGCTTATGTCGCATCTGAAACAAAAAATATTTTAGCTGCTGTACGTTGTTTTGAACCCTTTGCATGTTTTTTTTGTCACACCTCTACATGTCTACCGGTATGTAGTACCTTAACATCAGCAGATCCAGCGCCTCAATATGCACATTCTGTAGTTGATGCCCATTGCGAAACCAGTTCATCCTCTTAACTTAACTGTCCCTTCACTGTCTAGCCCCCTCCTCATTCGCAGCCCGTTCGAGTTGCGTGAGCGGCAATTCTTCGATCCACGTACCCTGATTTAGTTCCATCGCGATCTGTTGAAGTTGTGCCAACGGTTCTCTCAACTCGACGTCGCGCGCACACGCGGCCCGTTCAAGTTGCGTGAACGGCAAATCTTCAATCCACGTATCCCGATTGAGTTCCATCGCGATCTGTTGAAGTTGTGCCAACGGTTCTCTCAACTCGACGTCGCGCGCACACGCGGCCCGTTCAAGTTGCGTGAACGGCAAATCTTCGATCCACGTGTGGCGATATAGTTCCTCGTCCGCACCATACCGTTCACTCGCGACCGCGGCAGACATCAACGACTCTTGGGGTGTCGCAGTGGCTCTGGACGTGGACGGCCTCGACTCCGCTCCCAACAAACTCAGTTCCAATGATGGCCAAGCATTGTACGCATCCATCATTGTTGCACTGTCCAGGTTCGGATTGAGGGATGCTAACAATGCCTCAATGTTGATGTCGCCATCATCGTTCGACACATTTTGTCCGTCGGCGATAAAATTGTTAAGCATGGTTTGCGAGCCCATGCTAACAATTTCCACGGATACATCATTCGCCGAAGTACTAGGCATCGAAGCGCGAACGGTTTCAAGTGGTGGCACAACCTGAACATTTTGTAGTATACGTACAACTTGGGGCTTCAACAGTTTTTCTAGAATTGGGCGCTGACTATCGGAGAATGTGCAGTACTTGCACTGCTTTCCAGGCGCACACAGACACTCTCTTGAGCACATTTTGGCAACCTAACACAGAAAACAATTTTATAATGTACTATTTTACTGATGCGTCCAATATGGAGCGTTTAGACTGCAGTGACGGTGTGCACCATTGACACTGATATAAATACATGTCCCTCCTACCCACCTTTCACGACTTTCTACCTTCGCGATATCTACCATCTGCCTTTTAATTAACAGTCAAAATTTATTACCCCATAATCGTTTATGCTCGAGGTTGACATTCCAGAAGCAGTTCGGATTGACAATCTCGTATGGGATCTCGATGATCCATCCACAGATTCAGGGTATACCAGTCCTTAATCATGGATGGATCGTTATGCATTTTAGTTTTAAGGAATTATGTCTAAGATTTTATTTGTAAGGTTGTAGGCTTTAAGGTTTCTGTGAAACATATAAATAAAAAATAAAAACACTAGAACCATTAACTATCTATTCGTTAGCCGTAAGACCATAAACCCAAACCCAATAAAAGAGTTTACAACATCTATGCATTCTTATTATTATTACATTAATTTCATGTTCATAAACTTATTTTAAAAATTTTAAAATTTTCTTTAACGCGTCATTTACACCCACATCATTGTCTCTAATGACTTTATGCTTTTGTTGTATTATTGTTTATGTCTTCCAATTACTGATACCCTCGATTTCTATAAGTATTTTACAGAAATGGCTTAGTTAATGTTAGGGGTATAATACCCCTATATCTTTTTCCCTGGTGATATTACAAGAATTTGTTATTAGCATTTCCATCTCTATATTACCACTCCATTCCATTTCACTACATACTTTTATGAAATTATACCATCTAGGTTAGGGGTAATTCACCCTTATATCTGTTTTCCTGGTGATACTACAACGTTTTGTTATTAGCATTTATGTCTCTTTATAATCCCTGTAATCCATTTCACTACATACTGTTATGAAATTTTATCTTTCATGTTAGGGGTACTTCACCCCCTATATCTTCGTTACTACCCTCCCTACACAAAAACTTCATAAGAACAAATAGGTTCCTTGTACTAGCTGTCTTCATTCCCATACTTTTTTTGTTATTATTTAAAAAAAAAAATTGTCAAAACTGATTCAAACTGTGCTTCTCTTCTCTTCTCTAATTATGTTTTTATATCTCTTCACGATACCAGTACTATATCCGTATACTTCCTTCTACTATCGGGGGCTGCTACCCCTTTACAAAAATCTTTAATATCTCCGTTGTTTGATTACCGATCAATTTCAAGCTTTTACCAAACTGTGCTTTGATTTTTTTTACAATTTTTTTTCACCCCTTTCTAGGGGTTGTCACCCCCAATTGCTTTAATTTACTTTTATCACTATATTTTTTATTTTTTCACTGATTTTTGAAATTTTTCAAACTACCTGTCTTGTATTTGCATGCCTACACTCAGTATCTTCACTTACCTTATCACACCGCCTGTTTTTCCCTATGACTTCGACACCTTCCTTCTTCGGCAACTATATAGCTGCTTCGCTCCCAACGGACTGTTGTCACACTGACGTATACTGCTCGATGCTATTCTTCTTTCACAATACAAGCACTTTGCTAGGTGCTTACTATGTATGTGCATCTTATTAACATATCCATCATCGTAGATACTAAATAGGGCATACTTTGCTCCTATGATTCACCTTTCACATACTATGGAGCCCATCATGCTCGTACCAATGTAGTAATACTGCTGACAACGTTCTTCGCTCCATTCTACACCCCTCGCATAGCTTTCTTGACACACGCTCCATTCTACATATGCATTTCTCACACTTCCTTCATAACTCAATCCGTATGGATAGCGCACTCTATATCCATCTTGCAGTTCACTCCATTTAATTAGAAATCCATTCCCTCCTGACATCACCCCACTGGCTAGTCCTCCTCGTACTCCTACGTTTTCCAAATCTTATGGGGAGTCTAACAAAGACCACACACACTTCTCGTCCTTCTCATTCGTATCGTAAATCCAGCCTATCTTATGGGGACGATGTTGCATACACGTCCCACAATAAACCAGAAATATGCTGCAACAGCACCACCCACACGCCCAGCGCCACCCCTTAGAGTACTTCAACCGTTTCTCCGTTTGACACACTAAGCACCGACTTTTCTTCACTATATTTACCATGCTATTGCAATGCTTGCAACAACTGAACTGCCTCCTCTCCGAGCGCTGCACTAATTTAAACACATATTTCCAAGGTCATACCTTCTACCACTCACGACTTCAAGGTCATATTTCAAGGTTATATTTCAAGGCCATATTTCGATCAAGGTCACATTTCAAGGCTATATTTCAAGGTTGCATTCAAGGTCATATTTCAAGGCCATGTTTCAAGGTTACATTTCAAGGTCACATTTCGAGGTTAAATATGCGTTCAAGGTTGGCTCCCAAGGTCGACTGTCAAGGGCGTTCTAGAACATACAAACCCTACCTACTTAAATGTAACAAGGGTTAGGAATGATAACTGTGGAAACGATTTATTATTCTGAATATATATTTTAATGCGCCCCAGGATACCACACTCATCCATAAAATATATTTTGATAATTGTTAAAATGAATGCCAATGCTCAGTTCATAGAAACTTGGTCACCCTGTTTAAAGCTAACCGTGGCTAAAACCGGTCCCACACGATGTGGCGGTGTGGCACATCGTGTGAGAGAGCGCTGACGGATTACGTCTCCAACGTCGTCACATGGCACGTTCGGGCTCTTGTCGGTAAATTTGACACGCGGCAAAGGATGTTACAACGAGATGTCATGTGTTTGATGGTTTTAGGTTAGAACCAGTAGCGGCGAAAAACATTATTTTCTTATTACTTGTTTGCTGTGATTGTGGCGAAGTAGTGGTATGTGGGAAGTATTTTGATTTGAATACCTACCTGTTCATAATAATGTATGTTCCGTAACTTACTTTTGAGGAGAATGAATTAAATTAGCATACATACTAAGCATAGGCTGCCATAACAACACTTTTTTCATATTGCTAATATTTTGTAGGATTCGCCGGTGAGTTATGGCTGGCCTAAGGGCTCTTACACACGAACGTGCAATCCGCCGACCGGCTGTTCCACCGACCGGCAAGAAAATCGGAAGATGGTATTTTACCCACATTCGAATACAACTTAACACACTTGCCGGTACCGGCTATTCTGCCGACCGGCCGCCGTTCATATTAAAATTTGGACGGCGAACACACGGCTGCCGGTCGGTAAATTAACCGGCGCGTTCATTTCAATGCATGCAAGTCTATGCCTGTTGACACACGAACGGGGATTCTACTGTCGCCGTGGTACAGAGTCGTAGTTTCATTTCCGTTTAGACAGTGTAGTCATGAGGAATAAAACTAAAGCCGCTTGGCAAGAAATCATGGATACATTTATTTATGAAAACCTGAACGAAGCAGAAAAAGCCGAAATAGGTATGTAACTATGTAAGATAAGAAACAATATTAACTGTATTTTACTTAATTGCCACGGTACAGATCCATTACTATTGAAATATTTTGTGAAATGGTCCCGTATATCCTTCCCGCTTCTTGATCCTCGCAAATTTCGCTCTCTTGGTATGTCTTCGAGGTTTATGATTTCTAAGACATCGCCGATATTAAAGCCATCTCTCATTCGTACTAAATTATGCAAGATACAACATGCTTTAACAATGTCAATGACGAATTCGGGATGTACGTTTATAGGTCGATGAAAGATTCTCCATTTGTTGCTAAAAATACCGAATCCACATTCAACATAACGCCTGGCACGTGATAAACGGTAATTTAATACACGTTGTTGCTGTGTAAGTTGTTTCCACCAAATGGGCGTAGCAATTTATCACTTAATCCAAAAGCCTCATCGCCAACTAAAATATATGGTACAGCCGGATTTTCTGTTCCTGGTAAGCATTTTGGGCAAGGTGTATACAAAGAATCTGAATTCAATGCATGAAAAAATGTTGACTCTTCAAATACGCAGGAATCACATTCTTTACCGTATGCTCCAATGTCAACATATCGAAAACAGTATGATGTGTCCACAACAGCCAATAACACGATTGAAAAAAAAAATGTTTGTAGTTGTAAAATAATGAGCCACTTCGTTGTGGCTTCACAATTCGAATGTGTTTTCCCATCTATCGCTCAGAAACAATTTGGAAAATTGGCATTATTAGCAAATCCTGCTTCACATTCATTCCACATCTTGTCTGATGGCGGTGGGATGCATTCATCAAGTAGGATTTCCCAAATTTTCCTGCATACATCCTAACAATTTTACGTATTGTTGATGGTCCCAATCTGTATGCGTAGTGAAGGTCTGTGAAAGTCATACCGCTTACCAAATACCTGCAACAAAATTAATTATTTCTTTTTTTTCAGCTAAACACTATTGCAAAAATGGAACAACATTTTTGACAGTTTTGTGAAGAGTTATAAAAATAACTCTTAAGTCAGGCTCTGGTTTTAGGAGAATAAGAAAGTACATCTTCCACGATCAGTTGCAATTCCTTGCATAACAATCGAACACAATACTACAAAATCCAGTATTTCACAAGAAAAAAATACAGAAACGATGGCGCAACAGAATGTAGATGATAGTAGCAATGAAGGCGATTCTCAAATTGATTAGGATATGATCAATATATCCAATCCAAATACATCAACCGCTAAACAAACGCCATCGCAAGCTTTACTTACAAAAAAGCGTGCCTCAGCACCAAAGAAACGTCAAGACGAGTTTGAAACCAAAGCGCTAAAGATCTTGGAAAAGCCGGACAGCATACCCACAATCAGTGAAGATAAATCGTTTTTTGATTCCATTTTGCCGATTGTAGAAAACTTTGATGAAGATGACAAACTTCAATTTCGCATAGAAGTTTTGCAGCTTGTACAACGTTTTAAACGAAAGCAAAAATGTGATGCTTTTAACATGACTTCTGATACCAATAGATCGCTACCTTCGTTTGTACCACCAGCAACTCAGTCATACAGCCAGCAGTGGACACCGACATACCATACATTGCAGTGTCCACAGACAATAAATACCACAATCAAGTACGTCATTTGATCCAACTACATCTCGCTGTGACAATAATCTTGAATATCCACAATCTTTGACACCACAATAGTTTATCCAATCTGACTAACTACAACCAGAATTTGATTTGTTTATTTGTTCGTTATGTTCCTTATTTAAATATATCTAGTTCTAAAATCACATTTTAATTCTATTACTTACCTTATTGTAACTGCAAGCATCTCTGTGGGTGGTATCGCTTGTCTCATGTTTGTTTCTTGGAGGGCTATATGTTTGTCCAAACGCTGTAGTAAATAATCAAATGTTGCAACACATATCCTAAAGTAATTGAAAAATTTTGCTTCATGTTCTCGTAGTCTGTAAACAAGGTATAAAATGCTCCTACTGCACTTCATTCAGCTACCAGTGGATGAATCCATAATCTTCTTGCTAAAGCTTTCTTGTATTTTCTTCGTCTATACAATAAACACACAAGCACGATCTTCTTTTCACGTTTCGTTTTTGACAATGCACGAAACGAAATAGCCAAGCTCTTTCTACGTCAGATGACAGTACAGCACTGGCCTTCATTCAGAAGGCAATGTAAACGGCACGTAACCGGCCGATCGCTTATCGTGTGTAAGATAATCCCGATTTCTTTGCGGCGGAGAAACAACGGGTCGGCGGAATGATCGGTCGTGTGCAAGAGGCCTAAGGATATGTATTTTAGTAAACTATAAATTACCAAGTGCTTACAGTTGTTTCATTATAATGTCCTGTTGCGATGCAAGAGTAAATGAGAAATATATTGTCTGCATTTCATAACTAACGAAAAAGATTAAATAAACGATAACTCTGAAAGTACTATAAAGATTTTGATGAAATTTTGACCTTAGGTTACTACTATGAAAATGACGAAAAAGCTCTGCCAGCTTTTGAAAATAGGTACAGTGGCGGTGGAGTTATCGTCGAAAAACTAACAAAAACTGTCTAACTTGGTTTTTCGACATTTCTGATAGACTTAAATTTGGGTCGCTGAAGACAGGTTTGAAATTATTTTTCGGCGCTCGAAAAAATGCTTCATCTTTCATTTTGTATAGTTTGTCCTTCAGTTGTAAAGGTTCAAGCGCGACACAGACACCTATAATAGACGTTGGCGCCACCGTACGGCGACGTCCGAGACTAAAAAGTTCATCCCATCGTATAGGAGACACACTTGCCAATTGTGCGGTGTCGAACGTTGTACACAACGTTGTATACAACACTGGAAGCATCGTGTGGGACCGGCATTACAAGAAGAGAAAGAAGAGGAGCTATTCTCGCCCTCTTCTGACAAATAACTTCAGCGATACAGTTACACTGAAGAGTACAGCCGCATGATTATCGATTTCTTTATGTTTTGAAGCTGTGCTATGACGTAACGACCATAGATGGCGCCACCATGAAATTACAATTTAAATTCAAATCTTAAATAAGAAATTGATCTTGTTGAAGTTTAGCACATTTAGTTTGGATATATATTTTTTAAATCTGATATAATTCTACAGCTTTCAAATGAAGCGAGTTCGTTACAGCACATCGCTATTCCTTAACTGTAAATTAATAATTTTTGGCATATATGTTTAGTGTCCCGTACTAGTAAAATGATTACATTTTCAGCTTGATTCGTCAACTGACTGCAGAAGCTCTGATCTCCCACCGTTGGATATGGTGATCCGCGGTGAAGCGAGAGTAGTCGCTCATCGACTGTGGAGTCAGGGCAGCTGGGCTTTCTTGAATCCTGTCAAGGGGCATAATGCCATCTTAGTCGAATTAGCCCTTGCTAAGTTGTGTATCTACTACTCTCGTAATAAAAGTGAAAAGGTACAGGGTAGTACTTCGAACGCTTGTAAGGTGGAATTGTTTTTTACGCTTATCGTTATATTTCTATTATCATCTCTTGATATCATCTCTTACAAGTGTATCTTATCCTCAATCAGTAGCGTAAAAGCTTACCGTTCATTAAACCATTTCTGTGCACGCCACTGGTTTTGTTGGCATATTTACTTTTCTTTATAGATAAAGAAACTTTAAAACAAAGGAAATGTTCATTTCAAAAATAAACAAAATTAAGCTAATAAGAATTAAACATGACAACAATAAACATTACATTTGATACAACTTATTTCTAAATTATGAGGACATAACATTGGGTACAAAAAAATAGTGCTGAATAAATGCTATAACATCCAACCTAAAAGAGGTTCTGAATGTGACCATCTCTTGTGTCCGAGGTTGCTAACGATTTGTGATATCTTCTTTGTTGAGCTCGCTTAATCTGAAATGCTAAAGAATTTTGACCAAAAAAGGCCGATAATTTTAGAATCAAAATAATAAAAATATTACTCAAATTGATTGATTCTACAATTGCTAGTTGTATTTTAGAAAATCAGAAGAATCTAACATAGGTTGAAGTCGAATTGTCGTCGGGTTGGTTTTATAGAGAATAGCTCTTTAGACAGTACATGTACAAATTCCTCCAGAGTAGAAATAAAGGGTGTTTTTTTTAGAGGTATAGAAATTTAAATTGCAATAAAACAACGATGGATTATTCGATTGACATGCATTTTTTTATTCGAAAGATAATCTTTTGGAATTACATTTTAGACATGATTTCTGGCATATGACTGCCACGGCTGGCTCGGATGTAGTATCTGGACGTCCAATTTTCGATGACTTTTTCCAACATTTGTGGCCGTATATCGGCAATAACATGGCGAATGTTGTCTTCCAAATGGTCAAGCGTTTGTGGCTTATCCGCAGAGACCAATGACTTTACATAGCCCCACAGAAAATAGTCTAGCGGTGTTAAATCACAAGATCTTGGAGGCCAATTCACAGGCCCAAAACGTGAAATTAGGCGGTCACCAAACGTGTCTTTCAATAAATCGATTGTAGCACGAGCTGTGTAACATGTTGCGTCGTCTTGTTGGAACCACAGCTCCTGGACATCATGATTGTTCAATTCAGGAATGAAAAAGTTAGTAATCATGGCTCTATACCTATCATCATTGACTGTAACGTGTTGGCCATTATCGTTTTTGAAGAAGTACGGACCAATGATTCAAACAGTCAGTTTTTCTGGATGTAACGGTGTTTCGACATAGACTTGAGGATTAGCTTCACTCCAAATGCAGCAGTTTTGTTTGTTGACGTAGCCATTCAACCAGAAGTGCACTTCATCGCTAAACAAAGTTCGCTTATGAAAATCGGGAACAACGGCAATCTCGTTTTGGGCCCATTCAACGAATCTACGCCTTGCTTGATGATCGTTTGGCTTCAATTCTTGCACGAGTTGGATTTTGTAAGCAAGAACCAAGATCCTTCCGCAAAATCTTCCATAAAGTGGATGGACACAGATCCAATTCCTGTGCTCGATGGCAGATGGACTCATTCGGGACTTCCTCAATGCTACGTTCTACAGTAGCAATAGCTTCTTCTGTACGCACCGTACGGCGTCACTGGGGATGCGAGATATCAATTAGAGTAAACATGGTGCAAAAACGTTCCATGGTTAAGCGAATTAACTGCTCTGATGGACGATTTTGTCGACGATAAAATGGACGTAGTGCGCGATTCGTATTCCGCACAGAACCATTATTTTCGAAATAAAACTGCACAATTTGCAAGCGTTGTTCAGGTGTGACTCTATTCATGATGAATTACCAAACCAAACTGAGAATAAATCACTTGACAGCTGTCAAATCGGTCGCCATCTTCAAAAGTAATGCCAACTTAAAGTTCTATACCTCGAAAAAAAAACACCCGTTATAAGACAGTAGGTACATGAGCTTTGAGAGTACCGATTTGGGATAGTGTTAAATCGTTTCGTAGCTCCAAATAGACAGTCTAGCTTGACCCAATGGCCATTGACCATATTTGTTTCACCCTCTGAGTCCATTTTTTTATTACTATGCTCAATATTAATAATATGCGCCTTAATTGTTTGTCTTGAAGCACATGTACAATCCATGTGACTAGCTTTACTTACTGATTTTTTATTACAGGAAATTACACAGTACATTCCAAATAAAATAAATTAAAATACACGCATACATAATAATAATAATAATAGTAATAATAATAATAATATAGTAATAGTAAGTAATAGTAATAGTAATAGTAATAGTAATAGTAAGTAATAGTAATAGTAATAGTAATAGTAATAGTAATAGTAATAGTATAGTAAGTAATAGTAGTTAGTAATAGTAATGTAATAGTCAATAGTATCGTCATAGTACTAGTCCTCGTCCTAGTCATCGTCCTCGTCATCGTAATCGTCCTCGTATCGTCTCGTCATCGTCACGTCATCGTCCTCGTCCTCGTCAATCTAGTCCTCGTCCTCGCGTCCCGTCTCGTCCTCGTCCTCGT